AATTACTCATTAGAATGTGACGCTTTTATGACATTATGTTTTAATAATGAGTAAATTAAACTTCATTAATTATAAAATATTTAAGGATCAACCCAAAGGTAGATCAATTATTTTATAATTGAGAACATAATTGAAAATTATTTAAGTACTTTTATTAAATATGCAAGATTATCCAAAGATGACATGCATGTACAAATAAAGTGCGATTTATTGTGCGAATTATGTTAGCGTCAATTATATTTAATTAGTACATTGTTGTTCACCCAAAGAAGAATTACAACGTGCATTTATTGTTTTTGCCTTGAATCTGATTTGAAAATCTCAATTATTTTAATTTGCAGTAACTGTGTCTGTTTCGCTTCATTCGCATGCATCATCTGTTCCTATGTTTAATGGGCTCAACTATCCCGAATAGTCTGAGCACACTCAATTTCAACTTGGTATTTTAGGTCTTGACCTACTACTCCATGTTGAAAAGCCTCATGTTATTACTGATACTAGCAGCAAAGGTGAAAAGTCTTTCTATAATGCTTGAGAGAGATTGAACAGATTAAGTATGATGCTTATGCGGATGAATATAACGAACAATATTAAATCTACTTTTCCTGAAATCGATGATGCTAAGAAATTTATGAAAGCGGTTGGGGAACGCTCTCAAACTGCAGATAATCTCTCGCTGGGACACTAATGGCTACGCTAACCACCATAAATTTTGATGGTTCGCGATCCATTCATGAGCATGTCGTCGAAATGAAGAACCTGGCAGCAACATTGAAAGCCTTAGGGATGACTGCGGATGATAACTTTCTGGTGCAGTTTATCTTGAATTCACTACTCCCAGAGTATGGTCCGTTCCAAATGAACTATAACACCATGAAAGATAAATAGAATGTGAATGAACTTCACAGTATGCCATTTCAAGAGGAAACACGACTTAAAAATCAGGGTTCTCATTCAATTCATCTTATTACCAACCAAGGAGCTGGTAGGAAAGTCGAGAATAAGAAAGTTAAGGGCAAGCGCGGACCATTGAAAGTGAATGTGTCGTCTGCCCAAGCCCCGAAGAAGGAACTCAATAATGTCAAGTGTCGCTTTTGTGGAAAATCCGGACACTTTCAAAGAGATTGCCTGAACCGAAAGGCTTGGTTTGAAAAGAAAGGTACTAATGCTTTTGTATATTTCGAATCAAATTTGATTGAAGTTCCTCATAATAATTGGTGGCTTGATTCCGGTTGTACCACTCATGTTTCAAAATCCTTGCAGGGATTCCTTACGATCCAAACCACAAAGTCGAATAAAAGATTTGTTTTTATGGGAAATCGAGTCAAAGCTCCCGTTGAAGCCGTAGGAACCTACCGTGTAATTTTAGATTCTGGACACCATTTACATTTATTTGAGACTCTTTATGTACCTTCCGCTTCTTGCAATTTGGTTTCTATTTCTAAACTCTATTCTGTTGGGTATTCATTTAATTTTGGCAATGGTTGTTTCACTTTATTCAAAAATAATTATCCAATTGGTTCTGGTGTTCTTGAAAGTGGTCTTTACAAATTCAAACTTGAAAACCTCTTTGTTGAAACCCTTTTAACCCTGCATTATGATATTGGAACTAAACGTGGTTTAGTGAATGAAAACTCTACTTACTTGTGGCATAAACGTTTGGGGCATGTTTCCAAAGAAAGATTTATAAGATTAGTAAAGAATAAAATCCTTCTAGATTTAAATTTTCACTGATCTTGGTATTTGTGTGGATTGTATAAAAGGAAAATAAACAAAACACACAAAGAAATGAGCCATAAGAAGCACACAGCTTCTTGAAATAATACACATTGATATTTGCGGACCATTTGATGTTTCCTTTTTTGGAAAAGAAAAATATTTCATCACCTTCATTGATTACTTTTCACGTTATGGTTATGTCTATCTATTACATGAGAAATCTCAGTCAGTAGACGCTCTAGAAGTATTTATTAATGAGGTTGAAAGACAATTAGATAGAAAAATAAAAATCATTAGATCTGATAAAGGTGGTGAATATTATGGAAAATACAATGAATCGGGTCAATGCCCGGGTCCGTTTGCCAAATTTCTTTAAAAGCATGGCATATGTGTTCAATACATTATGCCAGGTACACCACAACAAAATGGTGTAGCTTAAAGGCGTAATCGAACACTCTTGGATATGGTTAGAAGTATGCTCAGTAATTCTTCACTGCCCATATCGATGTGGATGCATACGCATAATACTGCCATGTACTTATTAAATAGGATTCCTACTAAAGCAGTTCCTAAAACTCCCTTTTAGTTATGGACTGGAAGGAAACCAAGTTTAAGGCATCTGCATGTTTGGGGTTGCCCGATAGAGATAAGAGCTTATAATTCACATGAAAGAAAGTTAAACTTAAGGACGATCAATGGTTTCTTCATTGGTTATCCCGACAAGTCTAAAGGATATAAGTTTTATTGTCCTAATCATAGTACAAGAATTATTGAAGTTGGAAATGCAAAGTTCATTGAGAATGGTGAAGTTAGTGGGAGTCAAGAATCACGAAAGGTTGACATTCAGGAAGTTAGGGTGCACATTACTGTACCACTGACTCCTAATAATGTTGTTGTTTATCCTGTTGTTGAACCTCCTAACATTGGACACAAACAACAAATTAACGAACAATTGACCCACAATGAAGATAATGAACCTGCAGTAGATGAACCATGTGAAATAGTGTTGCGAAGGTCTGAAAGACAAAGACGCCCTGCTATTTCCAATGATTATGTGGTATACCTACAAGAGTCTGAATGTAATTTAGGACTTAATGACGATCCGGCTTCATTTTCACAAGCCATGGAAAGTAATAATTCTAATAAGTGGTTAGATGCCATTGATGATTAGTTAAATTCTATGAAGCATAATGATGTTTGAGATCTTGTCGAGTTGCCTGAAGGTTGTAAACGAGTCGGGTGTAGATGGGTCTTCAAGACCAAACGCGACTCAAACAACAACATCGAAAGATACAAGGCCAGACTAGTTGCCAAGGGTTTTACTCAGAAAAATAGTGTTGATTATAAGGAAACATTTTCCCCAATCTCTAAGAAAGGTTCGTTACAATTATCATGGCTTTGGTGACTCATTATGATTTGGAGTTACACCATATGGATATAAAAATAACCTTTTTAAATGGAAATTTGGATGGGGAAATTTATATGGAGCAACATGAAGGTTTCTCCATTACAGAAAGGGAAAAAATGGTGTGTAAACTTAAGTAATCAATATACGGGCTTAAACAAGCTTCCCGACAATGGTATCTCGAGTTTCATGATACTATAACTTATTTTGGATTCAATGAAAACACCGTCGATAGATGTGTGTATCTGAAAGTCAGTGGGAGCAAGTTTATTTTTCTGATCCTGTATGTTGATGATATCTTGTTTGCAACAAATGATCTTGGTTTATTATGTGATACCAAGAAGTTTCTCTTTAAAAACTTTGAAATGAAGGATATAAGTGAGGCATCCTATGTGATCGGAATATAAATATTCCGTAATAGATCACAAAGATTGTTAGGATTGTCTCAAAAGACATATATCAATAAAGTTTTGAAGAGATTCAAAATGGAAAAATGCTCTTCTAACGTCGTTCCAATTCAGAAGGGGGACAAATTCAGTCTCATGCAATATCCACGGAACGAATTGGAACGTAAACAAATGAATGTAATTTCTTATGAATCAATTGTAGGAAGTCTGATGTATGCGCAGACTTGTACAAGGCCAGACATCAGCTTTGCTGTTGGAATGCTTGGTCAATATCAAAGCAATCCAAGATTAGATCACTGGAAGGCCGTAAAGAAAGTGTTGAGATACCTGCAAGGGACAAAAAACCACATGCTTACATACATGAGGTCTGATTGTCTAGAGGTAGTTGGTTATTCAGAATCAGATTATGCCGGATGTGTTTGATACCAGAAAATCCACTTTTGAGGCTATAAAAGAATTCTGGTCCTCCATTTGCCTTTAAAAGGTAAGAACAAATCTATTCTATCACACACATAAATTAAATTTACGTGTTTTGACATTGAGGCTAAAAGGAAGAAATCAGACCAACTCATTGTCTCAGCCAAGAGGATCCAACCCAGGTTTGAGTTTGATATTAAAATAATGTATGATATAATGTTTTGTGAGAGAAAAAAATTGTAACTTTTTTCAGAGAAACGTAAACTAGAATAGTATTTTTGGTAATTTTTAAAAATAAATGCTGAAAATGAATAATATAAAAGTTCCAAAACTGTGCTTAAAGTATAAACCAAGTTAGTCTATTTTCAAAAAAATTCAGGGTAGGTTTCTTTTGAAGTAGTTCGGAAAAATTGAGTTTGAGTTTGCTTTTTATTTGAATTTTAAGATATGTTTGAATTTTTGTTTTTTTTTTTTTTTTTGTTTTTTCTATTTTGTGTGTTAGTTTGATTTGGATTTGTGAAATTTTGATATATATTGATTTGATGGATAATAAATATAATAATATCAATGTGTTTCAACATTGATTTTCGTCATCTTCTTTGCTGATTTTTCATTGTTTCTTCCATTGATTCGATTTAGGTAAGAAGATTGAGTTTGATATTAGGTTGCGTTCTTTTGTGGGTTTTACGACAAAGTTTTAATTATGCAGATTTCTTTTTTTTTTAAAAAAAATATCAAATCAAACAATTATTATTTTTATATATTATACGGTAAATTTATTTTATATTCAAAATATTACATCAACTTCTATTTATATCCATTAAACAAACTATTTAAATTCAATTTTTTACTTTTAAAAAATTAAAAAAAAAAAAAAAAAACTAAACTCACGAACAAACACACCCATATTGTTTCTAATTAAAGTTTAATTTTTTGTTATTATCGAAATTTTATTAGGGCAGATAAATTTTGCCGAACTTGTTTGAAGTGAAAACTGTTAGAATAAGCAAGTCCACTGCCAAAGATAAAACACATACAAAAATACCGTCAGTTTTTAGTACAGGTGGAAGAAGGTATTTGGTTGGTATGCAGCTATGGTTAGGGTTTTAGCAAAACCCTAACAAGACCCAAACCCTCTCCTGCGCACCCACTCTTCCTCTGGCTAGTTCTTGCTCTTCGATCTTGGGGAGCCTCCTAACACTTCGGATGATCCAACCACTTGATTCTGCCTACTTCCCTGCTTCAATCCGGAAATGAGGCCTATAGTTTTCAGGATCTCCTTCCTCGCTACCGCAAACCTGCGGCAGCAGCTGAAGAATTCGCCTGGTTTAGCGTTTTCGACGGTGCAACATCCGAATCAAGTATCCAACTATCACAATCGGCGTCAGGAGGAGGAGGGGCGCAGCGTGCGGGTGTCCGTGTGGTGGGATTTCGAGAACTGTAGCTTGCCGGTAAACACTAACGTGTTCAAAGTGACACAGGGTATCACTAACGCCGTCAGGGCGAATGGGATTAAAGGTCCAATTCAGGTTACGGCTTTTGGAGATGTAATGCAGATTTCGAGGATCAATCAGGAAGCACTTTCGGCTACTGGAATCAATCTCTGCCATGTTCCTTCTGGTAGATTTTTCATCTTTGTCTATTGCGGGGCTTCTTTTGTCGGATGTTTTTCTAGGCTTATTGTGATCTTTGGATTGGTGTGCTTTGAAATGGTGGATTTGATCGAACTGAACACCTGAGAAATTTGTGAAGTTTTGCTCTGTTAGACTCTTAGAGGCTTTAAAGGCTATAATTTTCTTCTCTAGTATCGAAATGCCGCTTCAAAATGTGTAAGACCTTGAAGTGAGTTTCCTATGTGTGTATTGCTTTTCAGGGGACATTAGAAGCAGATGGTATGGCTAGAAACAAGTAAAGATTGACATGTGCAAATGTGGAAGTCAGTCAGTATGTTAGATCCAAAAAGAGACCATTTCTATTAGTTTCACACCATAGTAAAATCTAAGTGCAGTCTTCACAAGTCAAAGTTTCTTGAAATGAAATATATTATCTATATATTTTTTAAATTCTAATTCAGCAACTTTTTTGAGTTTTTATGAACTAAAAAGTTGCTATGAACTTATAAATGATAGAAGATATTGCATATATTAGCAACTTTTTTGTGTCATGTTATATATGCTATTTGATTTGATTTTTTTTTTGTTTGGCTTAACAGTCTTGAAATTTAGGGGACTAAATTATTTTGTTGCAAATGTTTCATATGGTCTGATGTTTTTATTTCTTCTTTTGTGGTTTAGTTTTAGTTTGGACTTACATATGTGTGATTATGGTCATTTTATGGTGCTCTTATGAATATTTTCCAGAAAATACATGAAAGTCATATATTGATTTAGAATGTTGTACTCAATATTATGCTGACCTTGTTTTAGATGAAATGATCTTAAAATGTTTAACTTTGTTGTACTTACTGAAGATCAGTTCAATGATGAAGAGTTGTATTCATAGTTCTAAACCACATTTATTTATGTGCTTTGTTGTTTAGGTGGCAAGAATAGTGCGGATAGATCTCTTCTTGTGGATCTTATGTACTGGGTTTCCCAAAATCCTCCGCCAGCACATATCTTTTTAATATCTGGGGACAGGGATTTTGCAGGCATTTTACACAAGTTGAGGATGAGCAATTACAATATCTTACTGGCTAGCCCGGACAGTGCTCCTAATGTGCTAATTAGTGCAGCTACTATCATGTGGCACTGGAGTTCCTTACTCAAGGGAGAAAACATTACCGGGAGGTTCTTCAACCAGCCACCGGATGGCCCTTACAATTCTTGGTATGGCCAATACAGGACTCCTATTGAGGATCCATTTGCAGTAGTGGAGCATCAAACCTCTTGTTTACCGGCTGAGGAATTGGTTGAGTCTAAGGTTCGTCCAATTCCAAAGTCTGTTATGAAGCAGATTCGTCATATTCTTAACTCATATCCAGATGGAATTGCTATATCTCAGCTTGGCACTGAACTAAATAAGTGTAATTTGACAATAGACAAAGACTTTTATGGGTATAGAAAGTTGTCTCGTTTCCTGTCAGCAATGCCACATGTTGTAAAGCTTATTCATTTGGGCAAAGATCAGTACATTGTGAAAGGAACCAATTCTAGATACGCTGATGAACCAATTCCAACTTCATCTATCCGAGAACTGGAAGGTGGCAAGTTTTCAAAAGTGGACAGTGAGATAAGCTCCGGTGATGATATATCCAAGAAAAATACTGCATCTCAAATTCCTGAATTGAAGGTGAATGCTGAGATGTTGGGGCAGCACGACACTTCTACATCAATCAACACTCCAATTGTAAAAGTGAAAAATCACTCAAAAAGTTCTCAAGATCCTAAGAGGGAAGAAGAGTTGAAAGAGTCTCCTAGAAAAAGAAGCATACAAGAGATACAGGAACAAGATAGAAATATAAAATTGCAAGAAAAACCAAAGAAATTTAAGGCAGCTTCTACTGCCATTGAAAGTAAAGACATATCCCAAAATGATGAAAAGCAAGGGGTTGGTCCTGATGAAGTTTCTCATTCTGAATCTGGGATCTTCAGAAGGTTATGGACAAAGTGGTTTGCAAGTGTCGATATGAATGATAAGGAGAAAAACCTTAACAAATGTGAGGAAATGAAGGGAGCAAAGGATAATATTGGGAAGAAAACTGTGGTACCATGCAAATCTTTTCAGTACATGTACCCAGCTCTATTTTCACCTTCTAGTCACGAGGCTTTGATTGATGATAGGATTCCTAGGGATGATGGTACTGTCCCAAATGTTCCTGCTCAAGGTTCTGGTTTTCTAAATAAGAAAATAACCTGGCTTAAGTACTGGAATTCCCTGGAATTTGACAATAAAGTAGATAAAAACGGTGAAGTGATGGATCAGGTGAAAGTTAGTTCTAAGCAGCTTGAATTATTTTCAAAAGCATCATTTTGGAAAGAACTGGAATCATTCCTTGATACAACCCAAGGTGCAGCTGTTTTTTCCCAATCAAGAACCAGGTATTACTTACAAACTTATACTGATACATTTACTGAACTCATTTCAGTAGAGTTCTATATAAGTTAGTTTTAATATATTTATTAAAAATAGTCTGTCATATCTCATAAGAAATCATAGCAGCATTGCCTTATCTGTCTAATTACAATGGCATGTTGAATGTGGTTGCTTGGATTTCTTCTATAGGAATATAAATGAAGGGTTCATCAGCTATAGTACAAGTGGATAATATTTACTTTAAATATGACATATGCATAACTGGGCTGATTAATAGCTTACAAGTATGTGAAGTTATATTGCAATTTGAGATATTTTTGTGCCTGTATTATAAACCCAGTAACTGGGCAGTTGGAAAGAGAAATGCTAATACGTCAAAGAGAGGTCATTATTCAAATATTATTTCTGGCACTGCCTTAAAAGATTTGAAGATACTTTTGTTCAGAAATAGGAGTGAGACCGCTAATGCAGTAAGCCACTTTCTGATTCATTGAGGTAGTGATGATATTGAAAACTAAATGGTTACTCTAGGTTTGTTCACGGAACCTATTTTTGAGTGGCATAGTTCTCCATAAATATTAAAAAAATATAGTATATACATTTTAACATAATATATATACTTTATTCACCCATAAAAATCAACAATTCAAAATAAAATATTATTTTTTATATTACCGGCATAATTCCACATACCTAATATAAAAAAACACATTCATTCAAAAATACAAAGTGAACACACCCTCTATTTTTTTTTTTTTTTCTTTTAAATGCTAGTATGTATTAACAGTATCTTATGAATTGCCAGCTAGATTGTTTAAGAATACATGCTAGTTTAATATTCAATACAACATTATTTACTTTTTTCCATATTTACCGTTCTATCATCTATAGTTAGTATTTTGTCATGGAAAAAGAAAGTGTATTTTAGTGGTATCAATGAAAATTTTCTTCACATTTCATGGTTATAAACTCTTAGACCAGATCTGATTGGATGGATTTAGATTTGAAGGTGGATTTTAAAAGAATCGATTTGAATCACGGAATTAGTAATATTTCAAAATTTAATTCACATTTGGTCTTAGAAAGCATTTGAAATGGCATAATATTGAAGCATTTTAAATATTAAGAGTGGTTAATTTTAAATCCACATCTGACTTCATGGATTAGAAATCAATTGCATTGTCAAATGAAACAATCATATCAAAACTCTTTAGGCCAAATTCCTTTGACTAAATGGAGCTTAATGTCTGTTTGGTTCTTTTGCACCGTGATGGTTATCTACATGTGATAGTTTGTTTTTCTTTTTTCTTTATATATATATATATATATATGTAACATCATGGTATGTGAATCTGAACTCCGATTCCATCATTTTAATTTGTTCATCAGGGAGAATCTTGTGCAAAATTTACAGAAACAGGGACCTTTGATGCTCAAATCTCTTCCTGAAAGTGATTTGCTGCACCTAATTGACTTGCTGATCTCTGACAAGAAATGGGTGGAAGAATGCTGCTCTGAAGCATTTCCTTTCAGACTCGTTCGACTCACTGAAAAAGATCAAATCAATAATCCTCCTGCAGTTTCGAATGGGTTGAGCCTTATCTTCGAAGACAGGGAACCAAATCTGCAGCAACTTGGAAACAGAAAGCATCAAAATCCTCCTCATACTGGAGTTACACAAAATGTGGTGGCCCACAGGGGTTCCTCAAGCAAGTCCAGAAATCAATTGTTGGCTGACTGTCAGAAACTTGTGGATCATATTCTAAAGGAATATCCAGATGGATTCAACACGGGGCTCTTTGGGAAATTGTTCGTGGAAAAATTTGGGTATGCTCTTGATCTACAGAAGCATGGATATGAAAAGTTACAGGATCTTTTACGGACGATACCTGGGGTGGAACTAAAGTCTAACTTACTTTTTCCTGCTGGAGCATTCAAGAATCTGGAAACGGATCTTTCAGAGCAAGAAAGTAAGATTGCACCAACGGGTGAGTCATGTGATGAGTCCTTTGTTTCACCTAACAATGATGATGACAGTGACTCTTCTTGGGATGAACTCGGTCCTCTTGATAACTCGGGGCTGGGGTTAACAGGAAAAACCCAGAAAAGAGAAACTGAGCACAAGGTTCCTGATTATGAGCCTCTAAATGTGGACAACTTCTCTGATTCAGAAGAGGAGAAATTCTCCCTATCAGAAAGTGAAGTGAAGTCAAAACAGGAAGAGGAGCGAAGCTCTTTGCTGCAGATTCTTGATTCATGGTATGGAGATGAGAAGGGAGACAACAGAATGAAGGACCAACCAGTGGATAGCAAGAAACTTATCGATATTGCAGATAGCAGCTGGTTGCAATCCAAACCGAGTGGCCCCAAAGCCAAGACTCCATCCGTGGCTACAAGCCACTTAAAGAGGTGTAAACCTTCAAAGATGTACTCATTTGTTGCTGAACAGCCTTTTGATAACAATGACAAATTAGTTGATGGCATGCTCAGTAGCTTAAAGAAGTCTAGTGCGGGTTCGCCTGACTCCAGTGTTGTAGGCTGATGTTATGCGCGACTGAAAAACCTGTGGTATGGTATGATTTCCGCAGCTCTTTCAATTTTCAAATTAGCCTTTGTGAAAGATGAAATACTTTATAATATCATTTGAAAAGAAGAAAATAATAAACCACCTAATGCACATGCTTTCTAAAGTTTGCTGTCCACTGTAGTGTGAATGTTTAGGAAGGTAGTCTCTCTATGGAGAAAATTGTAAAATTATTAATACTTTCTCATATTAAAAAGATAAACGTGAATTACTTACTACCTACCTTGTGATAGGAGGTGACGGGTGGTTTCTTTTATCTTGGATGGTTGGCACTAGTTCGAGCAGAATGGCTTTCGTTGATATCTGACTGGCTGAAGAGGGGATAGATTCTCAAGCACAGCACAACAGACCACAGTAGATATCAGGTTTCCACTGTTTTAGTTCAAGCTTTATGTTGTTATGCCTTGAGAAAGAGGGGTTTATATCATTCATACACACTCTGCTACCCCTATAATAGATTAGGTTAGAGGAAATGATCAATGCTGATAGATAGATAGATATATATGAGAAATGCCATCGATCCCCTTCCTTCCCTTACCCTCAAAATGAAGTGGCCGGCCTTTGTTTGTGTGATCGGAGCAAATCTGAATTGAGTTCACCAGCTCTTCCTTCCTTTGCCTTTCTCTATTCTCACTCTCATTTTCGGTCATTTCTTTAGTTTGTTTTGTACAGCTACATTACATAACATAACATAGATAATCAATTAATTGTTCACCATTTAATAAGATATAATTTGTAGAATTTAGAGAATGTAATTATCTAATCCTAATATATTATTCAACATAATATATCGAGATATGGATCGATCATACAATTAAAACATTTTGCATATGAATTTGGATCCAAAACCTCTAGGGCCTTTGTTAATATCTGCAAGTTGTTGATTTTAAGATACATGTTCAGTATCTATACATTAAGTTGATACTCTTGTGATAAAGTGACAATCTAGTTCTTATATTTTGTTGTTCTTGTAACACTAGGTTTGAGCCAATGTGTAATGTTGCCTAATTGTGACACCAAAATTTTATCTCTGTCATCTGACAAAATTAAGTTCAAAAAATAATTGCATAATCCATAGAAGTAGTTTACATGCAGCTAAGATCAAAGCACGGTACTTAGCTTCAATATTAAAACATGTGACCGCATCTTGCTTGAATCAAATTATCTCCAACAAACAGATAACAGCTCGAGGAAGAACTCTATCGACTAGAGATTCTGCCCAATTAAAATTTAAATGTCCAATTATTTCAGAGTGATTGTGACTTGCATACAATAAGTCTTCCCAAGCGGCCCTTTGGTGTACTGCAAATATGCGCGTAAGTAGGGTTTGCAAAAATTAACCCGATCTGATAATTCGATTTGAATTTGACTTGAAATAGTTGAGTTTAGATTGAGATTTTTGACTCAATTAATAATTGGGTCAAATCAGTTTAACCCATTTAATTAAATGGGTCATATTACGGTCTAAATTTTCGACCCGAAAATAATCCATCTAATCTATTTAATTAATATTATTTTAAATTTAAATATATTTTCTAAATTTTATCAACACAATTAAATATTTATGGCCAATTTATAAAAATAAAAAATAAAAAAAATAAAGGATTGTGTTGTGTACTATTATGTAGTGTTTGTTAATTCGACTATTGAATATCGGTTTTATGATATGAATAAATAATTTTTTGCTTTAATACGTATATATATGCATTTGAAAATTTTGTTAAGTGTGTTTGTCTAGGGGATTGGATTGGATTTCACTATTCATCCAATTTTTTTCCCTAAAAAACATCAAATCAAACACCTATTTTTCATTTTTTATATTATACTAAAAATCAATTTTACATTCAAAACATCACATCAACACCTATTTATGTCACATCATACAACTATTCAAACTCAAAATTTTTTACGATTCAAATCCCAACTCAAAATCCAATCCCCAAACAAACACACCCTGTAGAAATTGTAATTTTAAATTAAAATTTTAAAAAATTTAGACTTAAACATGTTATACATGTCAGATTCAAGTTGACTCGATTAATAAAATGTCAGGTTAAAGTCGTAAATATCAACCCGTTTAGTTAAATGGATCAGGTCAGGTCAAGGGTTTTATAACCCGTTTAAAGCTGACCTAAACCTGAATCCGACCCGACCCAACCTGATCTGTTTGCCAGCCCTATGCGTAAGTACCCTGCAATTGTAGTTACAAGGTGATTGAAGGAATGGGCTTACGACGTTTACCTCAAATGATATATTTAGTCATGATAATTAGATAATTGAGCTTTCATTCTATATAGTCCAAGGGGCTTTTTTTTTTTTTTTTTGTTTTTTTGTTTCTTTTAGGAAACTTCGTATTGGGATCCATAAGAGAATTTACAACCTTACATTCAATCATGCTTGTTTTTTCGCATGTTAAGATCATAATTTCTCGAAAATAAGATAGCACTATTATTTGATAGGACAATTTAAATTTCTAAGAAATATCAAGTGATTCTAAATCCTTAGTTCTAAATAGTTGTTTAGGTGCTCATTCGACCATGTAATGTCATCCATATGAAAATACTTGTAAAATATGGTATGATTAGACAAATATTGTATCATTCCAAATTCATGAATAACCGGTCAAAAGTGTCCAAGTCATATCTCCTAAGATTGTTTCAAGCCATAGAGTGGTGAAAGAGGCGACACATGAGCCTAGGCTCCCCCGAGCAACAAAATTGGATAGGTTCTTCGTATAAACCTTTTAAAGCTCACTATGCAAGAAGACATCTTTAATGAACAACTAATGTAGAAGCCAACGATGCATAACTACCATAGACATGAAGGAGGATGTCTTTTATATAGGCACCTCTACTCGAAGGATAAGACTAACGTATTTAATGGACATAGTATCTTTTTAAGTGTAGGTTTTTTTAAGGATAGTTAATCCTAATGGGCTTATTGGAATTCGGGCTCAATTGTGATTAATCATAAACCTAATCTATAAATACTATCTTTTGTACTTGTAAAAAGTGTGCCTCTTCATATTGCAGTAATAAGAGAAGTTTTTGGTTGCCCCCATGGACGTAGGTAGATAACCCTTATCGGCCAGAACGCGTAATCCTTTGTGTTCTGTTTTCTTGTTTGTGTGTGTGAGTTAATCCTAGCAAGTGGTATCAGAGCGAGGTTATTAAGACTAGTCACACAGACTTGTTTGTTAAAAAGCAACCACTACAATAAGTCGGAATAGATTGTCAGAACACGTTAAAACGCGTTATACCCGTCAGCGTCAGAACGCATCAGAATTGTTAGATCCGTCATCACAGATCTCGTAAGAACGGATCCATGCAGTTTGCCTTGATTTATAGACAGCCCTGATCGCTGAAAGCACACTGCAAATCCGACCCTACGCACTCTGCAAACTGTTGAATTCACATTTGCATGATTAAATCATGTCTAAGGACAGAAAGACAAAGATTGACAAGTTCAAATGACAAGATTTCGGTTGGTGGAAGATGCAAATCGAGGATTTGCTTTGTTAGAAGGATCTGAATTTGTCCTTGACTGAAAAAAAACCCCCCGAAAAGATGAGTGAAAGAAGGTGCGTCTATTACTTTGCATATAAATGAATTTAATACTATAATATTTCGGTTGTTGTCGGTGGATATTAAGTTTGACGATGAAGTTCAAGTTGGTCATGTTATTCTCATTACCTGAAAGTTAGTCAGGAATAATCACAGTTGTTAGTATTTTAGCGGGAACTTTTAAACTTACCTTTGAAAACATTTGTGACTTAATCATAGAAGATGATATACAGAGACGAAATCCTAGTGAAACTTCAAGCGTCATGTTGAGCAGTGAAAGTTGAGTTGGAAAGAAAAAAAAGAAAAGATGAATGACAGAAGACAATCAAATTTCAAAAAGAGAAGTTAGTCAAAGCCAACGAAGGACATTCAATGTTAGAATTGCAAAAAGTATGGACACTTTAGAAATTAGTGCTCAAAACTGCCAGAGAAAAATTGAAATTGGTTCACTCTGATGTCTATGGACCAACACCAGTCTCTTCTTTTGGTGGATCAAGCTACTATGTAACATTATTCGATGATTCAACATGCAAGATATGGGTCTTTTTAAAAAAAAAGAAGTCTAAAGTTTTTAATATTTTTAAGAAATGGAAACTTGTTGTTGAATTAGTTGGATACAGATGAGACGACATAGGCTACCGGCTTTGCGACTTTGAAAGCAAAAAGGTTGTCAGAAGCAAGCATGCTATATTCAATTAAGCTAAACTTTTCAAAGACGGTAACACAGAAAACTCAAAGGTTGCGAAAGAACATATCGAATTTGACAATAATATTATCAGAACCAAAGAGTCGGTGGATTCTTAAGACAGTGGGAGTAAAGAGAATGAATCTAGTACTGACGAGTTTGGAGGCATTCAAGGTGATTTTGTTGACAGTGAAAGTTCGGAGGATGAAGGACCTCCGTCTTCACAAGTACAATTGCAGTATGCCGAGTCACAGTGGGTCAAGAGATCCACTAGAGTCACTAAACCTCCAACGAGATATGATCTTAGTATCAACTATTTTCTTTTGATTGAAAATGGTGAACGAGAAAGTTATCATGAAGCAATCAAGTAAAATGATTCGTTTAAGTGGGAGTAGACTATGAAAAAAGAGATGAGTTTCTTGCACAAAAACAAGACCTGAATTTTGACTAAACTTCCTTTCAACAAGAAGACATTTCAGAATAAATGGATATTCAGAAATCAAGGATAAACCAGATGGATTGAAAAGGTACAAAGCTTGCTTAGTGGTTAAAGGCTTTCGGCAGGAAAATGGAGTAGACTACTCTGAAATCTTCTCTCCCGTGGTAAGGATGACCGCTATCAGATTGGTTCTCAGTATTGTAGCTGCACAACATTTCTACATGATAATTTCGATGAGAATATCTACGTGGTACAACCTGAAGGGTTTTAGGTTGATGGCAAAGAGAATTGGATCTGGAAGCTGAAGAAGAGCTTATTAACAACAATGAGATGGATTCTTGGGGAGACGATTTGGTGCCACATATCCCGGAGTGCGGGGAGAGGGTGGGGGTGGGTGTGGGGCAGGCTGGTTTGCTTCCATCAGCCAGTCTTAGCCACACATTGAATATCTAACAGATGACTGACATTTTTTAATAAAATAAATAACTAAATAATTTATCAATTATTTATTTAATAATTTTTTTAAGACGAATTGCTAGTTTTTACAAAGAAAAATTATAATATTTTGTATAAAATTTGTATAATTAAGTGATTGTTACGATCAAACATTAGTTTTGAATGAAGATAGTGTTTTGTGTATATTTTAATGTAACGTGATAGAGTTTCACACCATTAATACATTTAGACTAAAATATAATGATGTATTATGCAATTTATTCTTTCTTAACTTATATTCTATTGATTATCTAAATTGATTTATTTTATTTTTTTAAAATATCAATTAACCATATTTTTTAATTTTTATATTTCTTTCGTCCGCTTACAAAGTACACATAATTCTATTTTAAATGGTCTAATTATAAAGTAATTATTTTGAAAATACCTCTATTTATTTTTTTTTACAAATACATCTACTTTACCATCATTCAATATAATTTTTATACAAAAAAGTGAATATAAAATTTGTCTTTATATTATTTTTAAATATTCATTACAATAAAAATATCATTATTTTTTAGACTACGCACTAAAAGTAAACATA